AAACACATAACAGGCATGTTCTGCAAAACATCTGTGCCCTGTGTAGTATTACTTATTCCACAGAAAGGTAGAAACAAGAATCCTAAAGTTATAAATAAATGTGAGTTTTGTGACAAATATTCCATGACTCTGTTTTAAGTCAATGAAAACAGCATCACAGAATCACCCAGGTTTTACTGACCTTTTACCAGTCTATACAAAAATTTAAAAGTGAAACTATTTCCAAATCAACGGAGCAGACACATATACACGGGTGAAGTCACGGCAAAGCTAGATAATTATTTGCCATAAAAAATTACTAAAGCATCATCTAACCCCTAGCAAGTACCAACCATCCAACATGCAAGGCTTTCAAACTCCATGTTGTCAGCACACAGTGTGCTCTTGCTTTCAAACACGCAGCTTATTCGCATGACACATAGTCAAGTGAATTCTTCAAGATTTACCTCCTTTTTTGTTTGTTGGCTACAGACACAATTTACAGAACCCAAGTACAGGGAAAACTGTAATGTCAAAACGCTGTGTTAAACTGCGATTTTTAGAGCTGTTTCTGCATGAGAAAAACCACAAAACTGACGAATAACAAAATAACCTGAACAACTTTTAGAAACTAAGTTTAGTTTTGGGCTTATCCAGACTGAATCTCTCTTTGTCTATCTCTGCCTTCATACAACATGTGATTTACCACTATCTGTAATTCAGAATTCAGGTGAGAGTTGAAGGAAAGTGTCCAAGCTGATCAGCACTGCTGCATGTGACACTGTGTGTCGTTACAGCAGCCTAATTCACTAATTTTTATTAGTGTTGGTCATTGCGTCTGTTTAAAAAAAGTAATATAAAAAAATTTAAATCATCAATGCTGATACAGATTGTCTACCAAAAAAGACTTTTTCAAGAAAAACAATAACTTTACATGTTAACTCTGCTAATGAGTAACAGAACACCAGGAATATTTCTTACATTGATTCCAGGGACTAAAGGTAAGTACTGTCCCAAGCAGAAGACCCAACAGATCTTTCTCTTCTCCCCAGAACCTGTCCCCTCACACCTCTCATGCACCGAGCAAGAGGGACATGTAGAACTGGGGCTGGCATCCACGCAGGGCACAGGGAGGTGGCTGCTGGCTGTGGCCCAGCAGAAGGTCCAGCAGCTCTGTTTCGTTTAGCTTTCTCTTCAGCAGATGTACATGCAGGAGCATGATTTTCTCCAAGTCTTCTACTGGCCTTCCAAATTTGGTTTGAAACCAGTCACTGAGTTCAGAAATTATTTAGGAATTAGCTGGTGGAGGAAACTGGGAAGACGTGTAGAACAGTTTGAACTGCCGTGTGAGTCTTATTTCCTTAGAAAATTAACGCTAAGAGAAAAGTGTTGCCCCCTCCCCTCGAGCACATGCACACAGATGCTAAATAGACGCCACAGATATCAAACTGTAGCTGAAAGAAAGAAGAGGGCAGCAGCCCAACAGTGCAGAAAGGATGACTCCTCACATACTAGTGCTGAGTGATAACTCATCCTGGCTTCGAATAAATAAGATATACTGAACTGAATTATAAGGGCTAATTAAAATGTAAGATTAAATTGAGTCCATGCTTTATCTCTGCATCTTCTTACCACATCATAGGAAATTTTAAAGGAAATCATTCCCCAGTGGCCTATAACTACTGCAGAAAGTAAAGAATTCATGGCTCCAATGAGACATGAAAAAGCCTGTTTCTCTCTCTGGGTGGTCTTTTTAATGCTTCTCCCTCCTGTGACTTTACCCTGATCTAATCAGCCAGCCTTTAAACAAGCAAAAGTCACTCACCAGTCACTGACAGAGGCACTTCTTTAGATTTTTACACATTCTCCTGTAACATTCCTTTACCCCAAAACAGCAGGGAGCAGCCAAGCTTCTGAATCAGGATGTAAATGCATGCTCTGAAGAGAACAGTTCCCTGTCAGAGGAAGGAAAGCTGCCTTCCCATGCCCAAAACAGCAGTTGCGCAATTCTCCCCATCCCTGACTCAT